CTCCTCTCCGCTCCGCTCGGCCCGCCCCGATGTTCCCATACAACCCCGCCATCCGCCCCGCTTCCCGGCACCAAGATGTTGCTGATGCTTAATTCATTATTTTGTAATTATGCGTTGTCCGAATATAATCTGAGCGAGGGGGTTTGGTCTGGTTTGGGACGATTTCTCAGTTGATTCACTTCAATACCCGTTAGCAGAAACACGCACGCGTGTCTGTGTGTACAGCCATAAATATATACCCTTAAAAAGGACACAAYATTCTTAACAAAGATAATGTTAGGCAAACGAAAGAACGGCAAAATTGAGTGATAGCTTTTGCTTTCTCTACGCAAGACTGTACAAGGAAGCGGCTCTGCGGCAGAAGATGGTTGGGTTTTTTTACACGGGTGAATGYCCCCGTCCGTGGCGTGCGCCGCCCTCCGCCCCCGTTGTGCCGCGTTACCCAGCGGAGATCCCCCGCCTCCGCAGCTGCGCCTGCCCGGGCCGCGYTCGGCATCGCCCGCCGCTCCCCCGGCCGCTCTCACGCCTGTAAGGGGCTTTGCACGGGACGCCAGGGCTCCCCTGGACGTGGCGGTACCGGTGACATTCCCGTGTCCGCAGTCACCACCTCCCGACAAAGAACCGCAGGGCCCGGCTTCCCCAGTGCCGGGCGAGGGAGGGGACAAGGGGGTTACACTCAGCTCAGCACCCCCAGAATTGGCGGGGAGAGCTGGGACCACCCCAGAAATGTCAGGGTCAGGCAGGGTGCTGGGCTCTGAACACTCCAGTCGCCAGGGACACYGAAGGTGCAGACACCGGGACTGCTCCTGTTGTCCTGCCCCAGCCAGGCGCAGGAGAGGRAGTGACAGAAGGCAGGGTCTGGCCCGCTGATGTTTCTTAAGCGCYCGTCACGGATTTCAGAGTACAACCTTTGCTCTGGGTGTTTATTGATTGTCTCTTCTGACCGGGAAGAGGCCGTGCTGCAGCCTGCACACGGTTCTGGGCTAGGTCTGCTCCTCTGGAGGTGCCCAGCAGCTCAGGAACCAGCACTGCTCAGCTGCTGAAGCACTTGACTGTCAGTGACTYGGTGTTGTCATATCTGGTGTTCCCATCTCCAACTCTTCATCTTCCTCCTCGGACCAGCTCAAGCTGTCATCAGAGTCCTCATCCTGCACAGCCCCAGGCTCCTCCGTGTTTGCAGCTTCCTTCTCTTGCTCACCGCAGGGCTGCAGCTTGCTCTGGGGCAGCTCCAGCCTGGCCCAGGAGCCAGGGCTGGCTTTGCAAAGCGTGATCTCCACCTTGGCTGGGACCATGCTCACAAAGCTCTTGTCGATGTCGATGGTCTGGAGAGAGGGAAAGGAGCAGTGAGCCTGGCAGGGGAGGGCAGGCRGCAAAGCTCAGCCTTCCCCTTACTGCCAAAGCCCTGCCAGAGGAGAAATCTCCCGTGCTAGGAAAGACCTGGGCTGCAGCTGAGCTCAGCTCACTTTGTTCCATCTGAGCAGCACCACAGTGCTGGTACAGAGCTCAGGGGAGCTCAGGAGAGCTCAGCTTGCTGCAGCCACACCGCAGCTGCCGCACAGCCTCTCCCAGCAGCGAGCTGTGCTGAGACACAGCCGTACCYGCACCTGTCAGCTCTCTGCTGCCTGCAGCCACAGCAGCACGCACCAGAAATACTGATAAGAAATGCACATGCAAATTCCTGAGCCTTGCTTCTCCTCCCCAGCCAGCAAGCAGCTGAAAAATCAGTGTCTCATYTGCTCAGACTGTGGCCTGCCCACCACTCACAGCAGGATTGCAGGGGCAGACAGGGACCTGCTGGGCCAAAGAACATTTGGGGCAGTCTGGGACCAAACCCAGAATTACTTATAGAGCTGGTGGTGACCTCCAGCTCTCATCTTAGCCCAGGATTGAACCAGTGCAGCCCCCTCAGCCTCCTCACAAACCCKAAGGCATTTCCTAGCAGAGACAGCAGAGACTCACGGAGGAGCCTGGGCAGCCCAGCCCAGGATGAAGAGCACAGGCTGCCTCACAGCACTGCAGCCCAACCCCATGCAGAATGCTGGAACAGGGAAATAAAGGTAAATAGGATCTTACCCCCCAGAGCTCCAGTTCTGCCCTGAAAATCTTATTCCCTTCAAAGACGACATGAGCCTCAAGCTGAAAGATCAATGGAAAATTATCTGAGAGGGTGGCACAGCACTTCCAGAGCACTTCCYCCAGACAGTGCAGCTGCCTTTCAGCACCATATAGCATCCCACACCCTGGCTCCAGTGCAATGGTCTGGTGATCCCCACAGCACCTGGCCACATTTGACTCTTTCAGAGCATGACAGGTTCACCTCTGTCACAGCTCAAGGGATTCAAGGCCAGCAAAGTCACCCGTTGAGGCTGAAAGCCAGAGCTGCTGGGCAGATGCTGCTGCAGCAGTGAAGCCTCTGGGCTCYCAGCTCAGGACCACAGGCTGGCAATGCCAGCCCAGACCAGAGGGCTGGTCACAGACCACAGGCCATCAGAGAGCACCAGGCACCCAGCTGGCTCYTGGCCCTCCAAAATCAGGTGGTGCCATGAGATTGAACCTCCCCACCCCACTCACCATGGTGCGGTTGGCCTTCACAGTGCTGAGGGCAGGCAGGGGGTTCTTGGCATAGACTGTCACCACCACCTGGCTGCCAGTTTGGTGCCAGTCCTGCCGGCACAGCACCGCCTTCTTGTCCTGCCGAGGAGAGGAAGCCATCAGGGTACAGCTGGGGCTCAGGCACCACCCAAACAGAGGGGATTAGGAGAGAGATGATGCTCCCCTGCACATCTCCTTTGTGCTGCCTTGTTGAGGTTGCCATCAGTCAAGCAAGAACAAACCCTGCCTTTTGTGCAGGTTTTTGAGGGGASATGGCTCATGCAAAGGTGGGCAGCTCCTGCCATGCTGTCCCAAGCAACATGGGACATCTGTGCTGTGCTTGGGGTTGCTCCAGGACATGTTAAGGTTAGAGACATCCCTTTCTTGTTCCAGAGTCCTTATGCCCAAGCTCTTAAGCGCTGTGCACAGTCAGGAAACTCAGYCTGGAGTGCAATGCAGGGGCTGTTGCTGAATATGGATGATGCCACCATGCTAAATTTTGGAGTCAGATGAGCTCCAATTTGCCACATTTCACCTTTCTCCTCCTTGTCAACACCACAGGCACTGATAGGCCTGTGTCTCCACCAGGCTCATGAGCATCACCAGGAGACAGATCCTTTGCAGCCCTCCACACTGCCAGCCAAAGAATGCTCCAGGAGGTATCCTGGCTCCAGACTTAGGTGATAATTAGCACAAAACATCTGCATCACAACATCACAGTTCCTGCAGTGCAGCTTCCTTTACATTCAGGATATGTTTTCTRCTCCAGGACAAAGAACAGATTGGGYTCAGAGAGGGTTGCTGGGAGCAGTGCTGACTCAGAGGAGCACACTGCACTTTTGGGGTTATCCTGGGCTGCTTTGGTGCAACCTTCCCAGCCCAGGAACTGTTCCCAGTCAAGAACTTTCCTGGGGAAACTTACACACACAGTATTGAGAATTGGGATCTTCTCCCCTCTGCCCTGCCACAACACAATGCTGGTATGTGGATGAAATCCCTCCTGAGAAGCAGCTGCAGAGGGAAAGCTTCATTARACCCACATTCTGTTATCTGCAGTTATCTGTCAAAGCTTTTGGGGGCTTTTTTAAGGGCTTTTCCTATGCTCAGCCACCTGTCCCTATGTGGCAGCCTGCAGTGCTGGGTATGCTGTGTCCAGGGCCAGGTCCTGCCTTGTTCAGCTTCCTTTTGCACATCTGCCCGTTGGCTGTGAGCTGACAYATCTTATGAATGCAGAGCAGCATTTTAAAGGGCAGAAGAGTGAAGATTAGGCATTCAAACCCTGTGCAGTCACCTGCCAGTAATTAGGAATATTAAGGCAATTAAATACAGAAACCCGTGTGAATGCAGAGCAAGGGAGGAGCACTCCTCAAATGCCAATAATGCCAGTTGCTCATGTGARTTGCCATAGCTGAGAGCCCCCTCACCTTCTTTTCTGTCCAGCAGTGACACCCACGGCTGCAGCCYGGCTGGTCCATGAAGGCACTGAAATCTGTGGTTTTGATTCTACAGCAGCTCCAGTACTTCATCCTGAGGAGAGCAGGGTGACCTTAGTGGGGAGGGCACCCAGGAGCAGGAGAGGGCACCACAGCAGGGTGGGAGGGGAGAGGGGCTCATAACCAAGAGCTCCCCCTGCCCACCATCCCCTTGGGGGGTGTCACCCACAGCTGTAGTGGCCGTGCTGCTGAGGCCACACAGCCTTGYAGTGCAGCATTTTCAGCCCCTGCAGGGTCTGTTTGATCTCTAGTAAAGGGTGGTTTCTTACCCCTCATGGAAGACAGGGACGCCAGGATGAAACGTACAAACCTCTGCGTTGCTCTCTGGGCCCTGATAGATCTGCGGAGAGAGAAGCAGAGGAAAGCTCTGTGTGTGCCTCTGGCACAGGATGACATGGTAGAGCCAGGCATCCACCCGTGCAGAGGGCACAGCACGGTGCTCAACATCACCCTTTTGCCAGGTCCAGCACCACYGAAGGCTTACTCTGGGACTGTGCCCAGCCAGCAGCCCAGCACTTGTCCCTGCTCCCTGCTGGCAGGGCAGCCACCCTGGCCTTGCTGGGACCACAGTGTCACCCCTGCTACCCTGTCAGCAACCCTTCTGTATCCTTCTCCCAAACACAGCCTGGTCCCAGCCCAGGGCTGTGGGCAAGTTTGGACACCACAAAAACTTGCTCTGAGTTGCAGGATGACGTTTGTCCATCCTGTCCTTTCCCCTCCTTCCCAGAGCATGTCAGCCTCATGTCCTCATCTACCCCCTGCCTTTTGCTCCCTGCCTGCTCCCTCGCTGCAGCTTTCCAAGCATGCTGGCCCTGCCCCAGCTCAATTCCTCCCACTCACCCTCAARGCAGGCAGTGCTCTGCCTCGGGTGAGAGAAAAAGTGGGCTGTGCTGCATCAGTTCAGCACAGGTGGGAATTRTTCCACGTGCATTTTGCCTGTGTGTCCAATCCTGAATATGTGCTGTATTTCACTGCAAGCGAKCAGCAGCAGTGAAACACAAATGCACCAATCTGGAAGCCTTTTGCAGGAATGTGGCTGGGAGGTGACAGAGATGGCTGCTCTCAGGGCAGAATGACAATACCTTCCACCTGCCTGACACCCTGCCCTGCATCTGTGATGCTCCTGGCCACAAGGCCCAGGCTGGGCAGAGATGGACCCTGCCAGGTACTCACCGCCTTGCAGGCTGCGTTCTTGCACCTGGTGCCAGCTGTCACCTCAGCAGCCTCCTCACCTGTGAGAGCAACACAGCATCACCCAGGACACGYGCTGCCCATGCCTGCCCCCAAATCCTGCTCCCCAGCTGAGCACAGACCATCCCAGTGTGCCTCCCAAATGCAGCTGTGCAGTTGGCTGAACATGCAACACACACTGGCTGCACTGAGCCTGTCACGCAAAACCTGTGCTGAACTTGCCCCCACTGCAACCCTCAGCCCATGTGCCCATGTGCAACCCCCACTGCCATCCCTCAGCTCGTTCCTACCTGGGCAACTGCTCTCGAGTGTCTCRTCCTTGGAGTTCAGGTTCAGTTTCTCCAGTGCTTGCTCCAGCGACCTGGATACCTTAATTGGCAGCAGTTGTCTCGGCTCATCGGAGCTGGGGAACAGCAGCAGCAAAGGCTGAGTGGGTTTTTCTGCAATTTAAGTGTCATTGCCTCTCCTGAGGAAGCAGCAGGGCAGGACACTCACAGAAGTCACACAGTAGAGCAACACTGTCAGCTGAGCCCATCTCACCTTGGTCTTTCCCGCAGCATTTTCTCAGCTGATTTTGGTCCTTGGACAATGATCTCCTTCACTGGTTTGTCCTTCGGCTCATCTGAGGTCTTCTCTTGGCTGGAAGGCTCAGGGGGCTTCTCCTTGCTGTGGAACCCCTTTGTGCATCCCTGAGCAGCAGAGACAAGCCTGATTACCACTTTGTCCTCCTCAACCTGCTGGCTGCTCCCRAACCCTGTGTGTTTCCATGCTGTGATGGCTCAGTGTCCTGCAGAGGTGGGCTCCGACCCTGCCCTTGGGAGCAGCACCCTTGTTTGGAGGCAGACAGCAAATCTTGGCTGGCAGGGCCAAAGGGACATCCCTGACACAGGACAGGGATGTGACAGGACCGGGCAGGGGCCAGGAGGAGGGGATGGAGGAACGGTGGGTACACTGGGGTTGGCAGGTCACTCACCTTTATAGAGAGGAACTCAGAGAAGTCCGTGGTGCGCTTCTTGCAACAAGACCAGCCCTAGACAGCAGGACATGACAGTCTGGTCAGGTGTGGGGAATGCTGCTGGGCACAAGGTCACTCCCTGCAGCTGCAGCCCCAGCTCCTGCCACACTCACCTTTAGGGCATCGTGGAAAATGGGGACACCTGGGTGATACAGGCAGGAATCTGAAAAGGGAAAACCAGGCAAAAGCGTTCAGGAGAGGCAGTCCTGCCCACGAGCCACCTGTGACAGCCAGCAGTTCCAAAGCCAGCTCCTGCCATATGGGCTGCCTGCTCTGGGCTTGCCAGCTCGGCAGCTGAGGCCACACTCTGGGAAAGCAGCACACATTCCCATTCCCTCTGCTGCAAGGCACACGAACCCACTCACCCTCGGCGTTGTGCTCGGGATCAAACCTCTGCCCGCAGCCCTTGTTGTAGCACAGCAACGCCATAGCTCGGAAGTACTCGCAGTGTCCTTCACTCTTTCCACAGAAATCCCATCAGTCTCATCCCTGCCCTCGATCCCTCCTGTTTCCCCACCGTTCGCAGCCCGGGCGCCGGGCGGTGGCTTTGCCTATCTTTGGAGGCGGCAGTGGGAGGTGGCTGTAACCGGAGCCYCGGCTAAAGATGGACAGAGCAGCTGATGGCGCCTGTGTTATCTCCACAGGCATTTCGGTGCTGGCCCTGTGCCCAGCAGAGGGAATGGTCACTGCRGGGTGGCCCCACGCCCGGGGTGTGCAGAGGTCCTGTCCCATCCCGCCGGCATCGGCACCGAGGCATCGGCACCACCCCGGAGCGCACACACCAGACTCCTCTTCTCCAACCACACTCAGCCTCTGTAGCATTTACAGAAGCAGCTGAAAGACCCCGGAAACTGAAAGGAATTCCCACCCGGGCACAGAAGGCACCACCACCTCCTAAACAGAGGCACCAGCAGAGCAAGGCTGTGCATGTGGCCAAGACATCCTTTGATGATGGTTTTTGTGCAGCCCAGGAGTAATGGAGTGGTCAAGGAAAGGGTCTTTGCCAGGCGTGGGAAGTAGGACACAGTGATAACGTGGGTGGTTATGATTAGATTTATTGCTAATACAGTTTTAAGATATTGCCAGTGCAGTATCTAAATAATAACTCTACCATCTATTACAAAATAYGGTGTATACAGGTGACTCCCATTGAGTCACAAGCTTCAGTGAGGTCCACTCACTTTCTAAACTTCTCAGAGAAGTCCTGGTGTGGATCAGTCCTCTTAGTCTCAGGTTTAGGTTACAGTCTGTGTCTCAAGGATTATAATATTGGCAGGTTTGAAAAGAAATATATAGATTTACAGTCTTTGGCCTTGCAGAAATCACAGTTACAAAGCAATAAAGCACCTTTAGAGCTATTTTAGGATTTGATCTCTGTATTTGACCAGATGTTCCTGTTTTTCACTCCTCCAAAAGTGAGTTTTCTCTGTGTTCCTTGTGTTCTGGCTGGATGTACCCTGCAGGTGTCCCCAAGAAGGGCAGGGGTGACAAACACCACCCAGAASCTGCCTGTGACCTTGGGAGAGCAGTTTGCATGGCTGGCCCAGGCTCCAGCAGCATTTTATACACTTTTGCAGGTCAATGTGCACCACAGTCAATCACAAACACCGCAGCTCCCCCATCTCTGGAGTACATTAATCATGCGAGCATTCAGTGCATTCCTCCTGCAAAACCCTCCCAGTGTTATCATCTTATCTTAGGACAAACCACATTGCCCAGCAGAGATTGTGGAAAGGGACAGGGAAGGATGCACACACAGACTCACACCTATCTGCCCTTGTCATCAGGGATGAAAATTGTTCCCTGGAAGGTCATTGTAATCACAGAAGAGTACAAAATGTTACTTGGGCCCCATGTTCAGAAGAGGTTTGCTCAGATCCTCTGCTCCCATTCTGGGACCTAAGAGTTTCCCCCTACAAACAGGAAACCCTCCTGAGATCAAAGGTTTTACTTAGTTCCTACAAGCATCTAAATCAAATATTTTCTTTGWGCTGTTCCTGTTTGCAGAGACAGCTGTTTCCTGGGTGCTGCCCTCACCTCCAGGAGCACACAGCATCTGGGGACCATTTCTGTTCAGGAACCAGGGTTGATATCAGTCCTTGGCACTATCAGACAGTACAAAGGGCAAATCCCACAGGCAGATGCCCAGGGGGTCTSCTCAGGAAGGGAACACAGGGTTTGCTGTGGCTGATGCAATCCCAACCCTGTCCTCTATTGATTGTTTAACCTACTTAAACCCTCTACAGCAGCCTGAAGAATCCTGTCATCCCAAGGGGATCTCCAGATTTCTGAGTTAGGATGAACTCTTGCCAGAGTTYTGGAGTTTACCAGGCAGATGACTCCAGATTATTTCACACTGCCCTGGTTCCTCACCTCCAGCTCACTGGAAGTGCCTGAGCCAGCAGCATCAGGCTTTTCCCTGTCAGCTCCTCAGCAAGGAGCCAGCCCTGCTGCAGAGGAGGACATGTATCACTGTCACACCTCTTTATACCTGGGTCACCTGTGTACAAACCTCCATCCACCCAAAAGCTGGGAGGGAAACGTGAGGGCATTTGGGATCTTGTCACACCAGCATGAGCCATGTGGCTTCAAATCACTGCACTGCCTCAGGACACAACTGACCCAACAGTCCCAAGGGTGGGTAAAACCCTGCTGTTGGCATCCAGAGCCTCTGCTTAGGTGAGTAGGATCACTGGGGACCCAGGAAGCTGGGCAGAGGCCTGTGATGGGGGAATTTGCAGTCCTGGGGGCTGAGCAGAGCTATAGTGTTTCAGATCTCCCTGTTCTTTCCACGAGCTGTCAGCAAGGCTGCAGCTGTCACWGTCCCCATGCCAGTGAGAATATGGAGCTCAGGTTACCCTGCACACCTCAACAGGATGGTGTGGCTGACACACATTGCGGAGATAAACACCAGGAATCCATGGGGGCTGAGGCAACTCTGTACTCTGCACCTGAGACAGGAATTGAGCTCCCAGGTGCTAATTAAAAATAGAGCCTGTTTGCTTTAGGTACACTTCATTTCACATACAACAAAACAAAAAAGGAAGCAGAAAAAAAAGAGAACAAACGATTCTCAAACCCAGCTTATGTGTTTGCCCTTGAGCAGTCAGGGGCAGCGTAAAACAGCCCTAAAGGGTGCTGGGGAGAATATGCTGGATACCTCCAGGGAAAGGCACCCAGCTCACCCCAACCCTTCAGTCATTCAGGATGCCTTTTGGAGCCAGGGTAGCAGAAAGGCACTGCGTTTCTAAAGCACAGAGTAATTCCTCCATACAAAAGGCTGGTTAGGTGATGGGAAATCCCTGACAAACATATTACAACAGGCAGGATTAATGTTTTACTTAYTTGGGAAATAAAAATCTTTCTCAGAAGACCATGTGCTGAGCAATTCTTCAGATAGCACTGGTAAAGAATTATGTATCACCTGTCCAAGGGGTCTCCACTGCTTGTACTCAACAGTTCAGGGAACAGGTTTGAAAAAGAACAGAAAACTACCAGAAATGGGGATATGGGCAATCTTCATCTCTCCATTCAAAACCACTGTTCTTCTGCAGCTTGGGTTATTACAGAACTTCAGTCTCACCAAACAATTATACCTTCAAACTGGAACACGCTACCTCACTGATAAGGGTTTTCTCCCTGTAGTTCTAACAGTGATAATTCAGGAGAGATAATTAAATTTCTTTGGAGCTGAGCTGCTTCTTTTAGAGTTCTTTCGCTCTGGTGCTCACTCAGAAAAAACATACAATATTCCTCATCAGAAAGTGCACTTCAGTCCTCAATTGGAACAGTCCAAAAAGAAGAGCTCAGTCTACTCCTAATATTCATTTTTCTTGTCATTAGGTGGCATCCTGAACCAAAACCAGCTGTCTGAAATATCCTGAACGGGCACAGTGTGGGGTTTTTTAGATTTTCAAGGGTCCTGTTGCCTTAAATCTAGGTCACTGTGGGCTSAGAGCAGAGTGGCCAAACTGTAGTGAGAGAAAGTGTCCCAAAACCAGTGCTGTGCCTGGCTAAGCTCCTTGCTTTTATCCTCTCTTTTTGCTTACATCTGGTGCCGGGTACCCAAGTCACGACCAACAGAAGAGAGAATGATGGCTCCTTTCAGCAAGGCCACAGAAAATCACATCATCCTTCTTTCAGCCCCCAAAGGTAGCTCACTGGAGAAGCAGTTTAGCACATGCCAGCACTTGTAGCTTTCTGTGATAAAYTACAGCTGCTAGTGAGATGCACTGTGCCAAAAAAAAAAGTTTGTCTACTGCTTTGATATGACAAAATTATCCACGTACCAGCTGGATTTTTCTGCTTTATCTTTGATTCCTGCAAATGCAGTCACTACTGTTGAAGAGGAAGCTGCATAAAGCACAAGTTGTAACTTCTGAAGTTCACAAATGATGGGGGTTCAAAACTAAGTGCAAAATGGTGAGAACCAAATTGCTCATCAGTCCTTGGTGTGATATGAACTGATACTGGAGAACTGTATTTTAAACCAGCTGATCAAACATGACAGCAAAAGGCAAGGGTTTCTCTTCAGAAGAGCCAAAATATTTCAGTCTGCATTTACATAACAGCCAGCCCTCTGGAAAAGCGTAACAGAGGAAAGCACTCTCTTGTGCACAGTGGCTGAACCCTCAGCACATCACAACAGTGCTGTGCACAGCCCAGCCTCGGGAGCTGCACTYGCTACCTCAAACAGGCAGCAACACCAACACCAAAACCCAAAGTGCTTCAGCAGAGCAGAGTAGCTGTGGAGTGAGGCAGCCTTGCTTGCTCTGCCCAGCTGTGAATGCTTCTGCACTACAGTCTGTCCCTGACACATGGCTCTGAAAAATCTTAATGGTTTGCTTTACAATTTCCTTACTCAGTCACAGGTTTTCAGTCTCCTTTAAAGCAAATTARGAATAGCTACCTCTAGCATTCACACCAGAGTTTAGTTTTCATTTGCTTCCTTTGCTGTTRCTGGATCTTTAATTTAGTTATTTAAAATTGTGTTAGATGGGCTTTCAGCAGTGCTAAATTCCTCCTTCCCCGTGATTTTTACATCCCCTTTTTTCCCAGGGAAAGGCAGTAACCAGATCAATTCTTATCTTATACTTGCTCAGGACTGAGGCAGCAGCAGAGTGATGCTGAACATCTGAGCTCTGCTGTTTCCCTAGGACAACAATTTCTCCTTGGACTGCCCACTAACCCACAAGCCAGATGACCAAGGGACAGATGAAGGAGATAATACAGGTACCTGGGTGCAACTTCATAGTTTCCTCTCCTAGTATTTCACAGTACAGAATTAAATAATGTCCTTACCAAAAAGCCATGGCACCAGGGAAAGCCTACCAGCCTCATTTCACCCACAAGCCACAAGAACAGATCCTTCCTCTCCACAGGGCAACAGAAAAACTAATCACCAATCTTATTCATTTGAGATTTTGCAACAGTGACCTGTCCTAGCAMCTGAGCCAGATGAAAAACATCACCTAACTCTTCA